GCGTATTACCTTCCTTTACCCTCATCTCAGCCGGGACAGCGTATTACCTTCCTTTGTCCTCATCTCAGCCGGGGGACAGCGTATTACCTTCCTTTACCCTCATCTCAGCCGGGACAGCGTATTACCTCCCCTTTACCCTCATCTCAGCCGGGACAGCGTATTACCTTCCTTTACCCTCATCTCAGCCGGGACAGCGTATTACCTTCCTTTACCCTCATCTCAGCCGGGACAGCGTATTACCTTCCTTTACCCTCATCTCAGCCGGGACAGCGTATTACCTTCCTTTACCCTCATCTCAGCCGGGACAGCGTATTACCCTTTACCCTCATCTCAGCCAGGACAGCGTATTACCTTCCTTTACCCTCAGCCGGGACGGCGTACGGCGTATTACCTTCCTTTTACCCTCTCTTAGCCGGGACAGCGTATTACCTTCCTTTACCCTCATCTCAGCCGGGACAGCGTATTACCTTCCTTTACCCTCATCTCAGCCGGGACAGCGTATTACCTTCCTTTACCCTCATCTCAGCCGGGACAGCGTATTACCTTCCTTTACCCTCATCTCAGCCAGGACAGCGTATTACCTTCCTTTACCCTCAGCCGGGACGGCGTATTACCTTCCTTTACCCTCATCTCAGCCGGGACAGCGTATTACCTTCCTTTTACTCTCATCTCAGCCGGGACAGCGTATTAACTTCCTTTACCTTCATCCCAGCCGGGACAGCGTATTACCTCCCTTTACCCTCATCTCAGCCGGGACAGCGTATTACCTTCCTTTACCCTCATCTCAGCCGGGACAGCGTATTACCTTCCTTTACCTCATCTCAGCCGGGACAGCGTATTACCTTCGTATTACCTTCCCTTTACCCTCATCTCAGCCGGGACAGCGTATTAACTTCCTTTACCCTCATCCCAGCCAGGACAGCGTATTACCTCCCTTTACCCTCATCTCAGCCGGGACAGCGTATTACTTCCCTTTACCCTCATCTCAGCCGGGACAGCGTATTACCTTCCTTTGTCCCTCATCTCAGCCGGGACAGCGTATTACCTTCCTTTACCCTCATCTCAGCCGGGACAGCGTATTACCTCCTTTACCCTCATCTCAGCCGGGACAGCGTATTACCGCCCTTTACCCTCATCTCAGGCCGGGACAGCGTATTACCGCCCTTTACCCTCATCACAGCCGGGACAGCGTATTACCTTCCTTTACCCTCATCTCAGACGGGGACAGCGTATTACCTTCCTTTACCCTCATCTCAGCCGGGACAGCGTATTACCTTCCTTTACCCTCATCTCAGACAGGACAGCCTATTACCCTCATCCCTTTACCTCATCTCAGCCAGGACAGCGTATTACCTTCCTTTGTCCTCATCTCAGCCTGGACAGCGTATTACCTCCCTCTACCCTCATCTCAGCCGGGACAGTGTATTACCTCCCTTTACCCTCATCTCAGCCAGGACAGTGTATTACCTCCCTTTGTCCTCAGGCTCAGTAACTGGGGGAATAGGTTTTTATCACGTTGGTATTTGTTTGTCTATCAGGTTACCTGTAGTTGACAGCCGCAATTTGGCAACAGGATTTCTCTTTGTGGCTCCTGAGGACCGAATAGAAGGATCCCGCAGCTTCCATGTCTAAGTTTATTCCCTGAATTTGTCGGCTTGTTGCTCCAGTTTCCAGTATGAAAGGACAGGTTCCCCCTTTATAAGGGATGACACTACCTACCTTCAGTGTATCATGTTGGTGAAGCCTCTACCTGGTCTTCGGTGCACTCTTTATGATGTTACCAGGTGGATGTTGGAGTCACTAAGGACTCTTCCCTTTGGACACATTGGTTTTTGCAGGCTGCTGCATGAGGTTCTTTCCTATTTCTGGTTGTTTTTGGGACCTGTTGGCTTGTTGTCCTCCCCTCATGTTTTAGGTGGGACATCCCTGTTAGTAAGGAATGTAAAAGATGCTTCGTGTCCTGTGATGTGCGACAAAGAAAATGATAATTTTTGGTTTACCTGTAAAATCCATTTCTTGGAGTCCCTCAGGAATCCCAGAGATCCGTCCCCTCCTGTTATGGGCTATGGCTTGCTACAAACCTTTCCTATGTCGGAGATCTGCTCTACAAGGGGACATCCTGTCTATTGTTGGCCAATGTCCGATCCCCTGTAGGTGGGCATAACAGTGTTAGGAAGGATTTATAAAGATGCTTCGTGTCCTGTGATGTATTCCAAGAAATGGATTTTACAGATTATTGATGCCATTTGTTACTAAGAGACAGGAATTGTTCATTGCTGAAGGAGCCCCTAGAATCCTTTGGAGGAACCCTGGCTGAGAAAGGCTGGACTAGGCAGTCATATATTTCTGTCCTCCTTGGTGGGAGTGGAGGTGACCCCTCTATAAGGATCTACAGTCCATACACACCCAGCACAAGGCCGGGGTCACACTACCAGACGCTTCTCAGGGCTGCAGTTCCTCTGAGCTCCACAAGGTGGGGATCTCACTTCTACCCAGACAAGAAGTCTCTATGGAAGACAGACAGGAAGTGATGTCAGGTACAGACAGGAAGTGATGTCAGGTACAGGCAGGAAGTAGAGAGGAGACGTTGCTGGAAGTGGCAGCAGAGGAGGTAATAAGATATTATGTTCTATTTACACCCAGTAACCCCCGTCATGTCCGTCCTCTTCCTCCATAGTCAGATCCGTCCTCTTCCTCCATAGTCACGTCCGCCCTCTTCCTCCATAGTCACGTCCGCCCTCTTCCTCCATAGTCACGTCCGCCCTCTTCCTCCATAGTCACGTCCGCCCTCTTCCTCCATAGTCACGTTCGCCCTCTTCCTCCATAGTCACGTTCGCCCTCTTCCTCCATAGTCACGTCCGTCCTCTTCCTCCAAAGTCATGTCCGTCCTCTCTCCTCCATAGTCACGTTCGCCCGCTTCCTCCATAGTCACGTCCGTCCTCTTCCTCCATAGTCACGTCCGTCCTCTCCTCCTCCATAGTCACGTCCGTCCTCTTCCTCCATAGTCACGTCCGTCCTCTTCCTCCATAGTCACGTCCGTCCTCTTCCTCCATAGTCATGTCCATCCTCTTCCTCCATAGTCATTGTGATGTCTTTTATCTCCAGCAGATGATGATACACACATATATAGTGTGGGAACCCAGATTAACCCCTTCAGGGGCAGAACATTTCCCCCACTTCCGGGGCCGGAACATTCTCCTCATTGTGGAGAGGTGTCACCTTCTCACCTCATCAGTCTATACTAACGGATTTTATGACTTTAATTAGTGGCGGGGGATGGGGGGATATTTAGGGGGGATTGGAATATCTATGTCTTTGTTTCATAAGATTCAAATAGGAAGAAAGAGAGAAAAATGTCATTTGCAGTAAATGTGATGAAAGCATATTTCTCCATAATGATCCCAGTCTCAGATATTCATCCTACAATGTGATCAGTAAAGTCTCCGGAATACACAGAGATCTGAGAAATATGATGTGTCCTGGAAAAGCCCAAAGACAAAGTTCATCTTTCTTGTTTGGAGAGGTGGGATGCACCAGGGAGCAATGTACAGAAACCTCACAGAGCGCCCCCCCACAGCTCCTCCTCCCCCAATGTACTTCCAACCAGAATCAGAGTATCCAATGACATCACACTGACCTCACAGCTCCTCCTCCCAATGTCCTTCTAACTAGAGTCAGAGTATCCTATGACATCACACTGACCTCCTCAGCTCCTCCTCCCAATGTCCTTCCAACCAGAGTCAGAGTATCCTGTGCCATCACACTGACTGTCAGGGTCAGCCGGGGCGTCTCGCCCGACGCATGCGCGGTCTTGTCAGCTCCCGCCCTGGGATACAGGCACTAGGTCCCGGCCGGCCGCGGCTGAGGGAGACTCGTGCATGCGCAGTAGGTGCCACGAGTCCCTGCTGGGCGGCCAATGACAGCACAGGGCGTGGTATTTAAAGATGCCCTGCGCTGTCACAGATTGCTGCAAGGTCTCTTCCTGTACCTGAGTTCCTGTGCTTGTACCTTTGTTGACCTCCCAGCAGGGACTCACGGTGCCTACTGCGCATGCGCAAGTCTCCCTCCCTCAGCCGCGGCCGGCCGGGACCTAGTGCCCGTATCCTGGCGTGAGCTGACAAGACCGCGCATGCGTTGGGCGAGATGCCGCGGTGGACCCTGACACTGACCTCACAGCTCCTCCCAATGTCCCTTCATCCAGAGTCAGAGTATCCTGTGACATCACATTGATCTCACAGCTCCTCCTCCCAATGTTCCAGAGTCAGAGAATCCTATGACATCACACTAACCTCACAGCTCCTCCCAATGTCCTTCCAACCAGAGTCAGAGTATAATGTGACATCACACTGATCTCACAGCTCCTCCCCCATGTCCCTCCAACCAGAGTCAGAGAATCCTATGACATCACACTGACCTCACAGCTCCTCCTCCCAATGTCCCTTCATCCAGAGTCAGAGAATCCTATGACATCACACTGACCTCACAGCTCCTCCTCCCAATGTCCCTCCATCCAGAGTCAGAGAATCCTATGACATCACACTGACCTCACAGCTCCTCCTCCCAATGTCCCTCCATCCAGAGTCAGAGAATCCTATGACATCACACTGACCTCACACTGAGCTCCTCCTCCCAATGTCCCTCCATCCAGATTCAGAGAATCCTATGACATCACACTGACCTCACAGCTCCTCCTCCCAATGTCCCTCCATCTGGCTTTTTTCTGATGTTTTTTCTTAGGATGTGGGGTCCCTTGGTATTCTCACATGTAAAGTGGGACTGTTGGTCCTGCGTTGTATGTAATGACATCAGAATGCTGCAACAAGCCTATACCCTGCGTAGTGTGGGGGTCCTGTGGGGGGAATTATACCTCAGCCTGAAGTGGGGCTTTAATAAAATGGAGACCTGAATGGAGAGGTGAGGAGGATTCTGGGAATATCATTTGATGTGACTATTTGTGTTCAGATGTAGAGTTTTCCTCCTGTGAAGTCTGGAGATCATATGACATCACATTGCCTCCACCTCCCTCCCTGATAGAAGAGAGAAAGAAGAAGAAGATTCTAGAAGTCACCAGAGAGATCACTGAGCTGCTGACAGGAGAGGTGAGCGGTGCCGGGAATTCTGGGACATTCTCCAGTAACAGACAAGGGATGTGTCTGGATGGTGACTGTATCATTGTGTGTGTCAGGTTCCTATAAGGTGTCAGGGTGTCACTGTCTATTTCTCCATGGAGGAGTGGGAGTATTTAGAAGGACACAAGGATCTCTACAAGGACGTCATGATGGACAATCAGCCGCCCCTCACATCACCGGGTAAGAGGAGACTTTATTGTAAAGGAGAGAGCAGTACGGAGGATCCACCTAGATCCCCCATCATCTGATAAACACATAGAAACAATGGATTCAGTCAGTGTGTGTGTGTTTCCTACAGATGGATCCAGTCATGGGAACCCACCAGAGAGATGTCCCCGTCCTCTGTATTCCCGGGATTCCACACAGGAAGGTCACACCATCCCTCACCATCATCAGGTAGATGATTGACAATTATTGGTAGTTGTGATTTATACACAGCATGTTTGTTACAATGAATGTTTTATTATATCTTTCAGAGTGGAATCCTCGGGGATGAGAATATTGATGTTAAAGAAGAGTATAAAGAGGAGGATGAGGAGTATGGAGTGATGGAGGAGTTTTCAGAAGGACACAAGGAGATGATGGAGCCACCTAATACCAGGAACCCCCAGAGAGATGTCCCCGTCCTCTGTATTCCTGGGATTCCACACAGGAAGGTCACACCATCCCTCACCATCATCAGGTAGGTAGATGAGCAATCACTGATAGTATCATTAGGATCTGTACATTATAAAAAAATGTACAAAGCGAGTGCTATCCAGTCAGCAGCTAAGCACTGAAGGTAACCAACATAAACCTTACAATAGAATAAATAAAATAGTGCAGCGCTAAAATAATGATTCATATAAAAGGGAGGTAAAAATAAACAATAAATAATAAAATTTTATGTAAATAAACAATATATGTGAACGCACTTAAAAAATTCAAATGGAGACTAGTTATCAGATTAGCACAAAGGTAACTAGATAAAACCTTTAAATGAACATAAAGTATATAAGTGCAGAGCTCACACTAAATAAATAAATATGACATAGAGTTCGTATCAGTGACTGAAAATATACAATTATAAATATATGGGGCAAATAATTTGTGTCAGTGACTAGATAGAGCCCATATAGTCCCAAAAGCTTCAATTGGTGCTTGTGCTCGTGGAAACAGAAGAAATGCGCACTCACCAGACACACAATATTAGTGCGTGTTATATCTTATATCCTGGTGTCATCAAGGTAGTCATCTGAGCCAGTTGTGGAAAAAGGCTTCCTCTCAAGGTGGATGGGTCCTGGGACTTTAAATGTTGATGATCCAGGGGTGTCCAGAGTTCCCCTTAAGGGATAGGTGGGTGCAGCTCACAAGGGTTAACTGGAGGTTCCTTCTCTGGAGGTAATGAACTGGTACTGGGCGTCGTCCCCCGAATAAAGATGGCCACCGGAGCTCCATGATGCTCCGATGGTGTGACATCACGGCGTGACTTGGCTCCTCCTTACAGGTTACGTGCGGACACACATCATCAGAGGAAGATACCATTGGCGCCATGACGTGACATAAGGCTTTAAATAGGCAGAATGGCGCATGCGTATCAAGCCGGCGACATTTTGCTGAAGCCTAAACAGATTGTTTACTCTCGTGCGCTGATGCGCCATTATACTAGAGGTTTTTTTATATAGATAAAAAGAGTATGTACATTTGTTCTTTTATCGGTATATTACCTTAAATTCTAAATGTCAAAAGAGTATAATATAATAAAAACTCCTAATATATTGAAATATATTGGTGATGCAGGTGTGTTAATGCTTTATATGATTAGATAAAACCATTTCAGATGTCAAAAGTATAGCACTTATATGAGTGTTGGAAGTGATTGCTCTACATTAAATTTCATTGATCAATTGTTGTATATAATATCGATAAAGAATATTAATAATTAATAAGTAAAAGAAGAAAAAAAAGTTGTATAAGAATATCAGCAAAATCATAATAAAAAAATAATAAAGTCAAATAACGATACCATTAAAACACCTATTGTATTCAAATAATAAAATAAGTAAAATATATACTGGTGTCCATTATAGTAAAATTATAAATAATTATATAAAAAAAAAAAAAATTTTAGAACAAAAAATGGACATCAGAAGGATTTGGCAAAAGATCCGATGAGTGTTAACGAATGTACTAAGACTGAAATCACATATGATATGAATATAAATATTAAAGAATAATACACAAGAATTAAAATATTTATGCTAAAAGTACACATTAAAGAATGTTCAAATGAAATTAACTATTATCGATAAAACAAATAACATCTAACTCAATATTGAGTCCTGCCGGGTGCAGGGTACCTAACTCGTAAATTTGTTTGGTCTCCAGTTGGGATACTGCCCGAGTCTTATATTCCCTCTCCAGTGCGGGATGATAGTATCTATCCTATGAACATAAGTGAGGAGGGATCTCTCTTCTGATATCACCTATAATGTAAGGAGAGGGAATGCTCCTTATATCCTTTTTTAATATTATAAATGTGCTACGGAGACGGTCCCTCAACCTTCTCGTGGTACGACCCACATACTGTTTGGGGCATTCTAATAGATAGACTACATATTTCCTATTACAGCCGATGAATTTGTCTATATTATATGTCTTATTAGTTTGATTAGAAAGATATGTGGTTATTATTTTCTTTCTAGTATCATTAGCTCTCTGTACATTATCTGCATTGTTACCATTGATGGCATTTTTATTATATATTCAGAGTGGAAACCTGAGAGATCCTAAAGTTGAGGTTAAAGAAGAGATAAAAGAGGAGGAGGATGAGGATGGGGGGATGGAGGAGTCAGAGCTTCTAAAAGAACACAAAGATCTGTACCAGGACACCATGGTGGAGTCATCCAGCTACAGGAACCCACCACAGAGATGTCCCCGTCCTCTCTATTCCCGGGAATTCCACACAGGAAGGTCACACCATCCCTCACTATTACAAGGTTGGTGTGATGGAGCATCTAGAACATGGACTTGAGGAGACAAAGTGTGGATTTTTTATGTGATGTCACAATCATAAATCTTAAATTTTCCAGATGATATTTTCTCTCATTTCCTTGATTTAGAGTGGAGATCCAATCGATATAGAATTTGAGGTTAAAGCAGAAGAAGAGAGTGTATGTGAGGGATGATCAGCAGTCTATGGAGGAGGATGGAATAATGAGGCTAATTATAGAGGAGGACACTCCTACAGAGATCAGCACAGGTGGGTCATGAACAATAAATCCATTCCTCCACCCATACTGCTCACTGATTGGTCCAGATGTCAGGGCAGGGCTGTGGAACGGACAGGTAGGCCTAGTGGCAGGGTAACGCACTGGCTGATGACAACCACCACCAACAGACCGAAGTCCCTCAGGGCGCGGAGTCTAAGTCCCAGGCTGCCCTTCACCAGGGCCCCTGATGGTGGGGATGGACTTGACGCAGCCAGGAACAAGGTTGCGGCCCCCGAGACACCCCGGCTGCAGTAATGGCCGCCGCCAATGGCGTGTAGCTGGTAAGAATGACAATAGCGTAGTCAGGAAGGCCGGGTCGACAACAACGGGACAAAACGGTACAGAACAGTAGACAGGGAATCACAGGTCACGGGCCGGGTTCCGCAACGAAAGGTCAGATCGAAGGAAAACACAGAGAATGGTCTTAGTCACAAGCCGAGTCAGATACCAGAAAGTCACGAGAGTATACACAGAGCTGTAGCAAGACAAAGACACAAGTGCAAAGAGCATGTGCGGATCACAGGCTTATATGTACTCAGCCACTCCCCTCTGGGGGATGGACCTCAGAGACCTGAAGGCATAAAAGATTCCCACCATACTCAGCAGAAATCCAAGATGGATGCCAGCACATGGAGTAACATAACCTCTGGGAAAAGGTAGGACCTTGACACCAGAGTAGGGCGGGGGACTGGGTGATATCAGCCTGTAATCCCCTGGTCACTTTCCTGAGCTGTGTTCCCCGTCCTGTATTCCTGGATTTCTCTCGGATAATCTTCCTTCTCTGTGCTGCAGACACAATTTATGAATCTAGACTGGATTTATGGAGGTTCTGGGGATCAGATGGCAGAAAAATGTTTTTCAGCACAAGCGATACTAGACCTAG